CTAATATGTTTAATACCATAGAATATTTCCAGACCCAAAAATACGTTACAGTAAAACCTTCACGAGGATGAACATTAGGAATTTTGAATAAATAGCAAATGCATCTTTATATCACTTGCAGAAGTGTATCAATAACGAAAAATAGAGATAAGTTTATGCGTGATGGCATAACCATAATATGGGCACATGAATCCTCATGTCGTAATTTCATCAGTTGGTACCTACCTAGTACTAGTCAAGTACCTACCCATCAGTTCGGATCGCATCAACAAACGTCACGTCTCTTCACACAAATGGAAAACAGGGCGTACTAGATATCTTATCATTACTTCAATCGAAACCCATAAAACAAAGTCAGGAATGATGATATCTATCTGGGAGTTCGATATAAAAATATCGTGTTTTCCCTTCTCGTCTATTCTTCTAATCTTCTATCGATTACTATTCAACAAGAATGTAGAAAAAATCAATTCACAATATTCACATGATACCAGTTGAAAGTTTAGAGTTATCAGCCAGGTCGAAATTGAAAATTCATTCGAAAGATTTTGTTCCATATTTTTTCATTGAACCGGTCAAAGTGTGCCGTGTAAATTGAAGAGCAGTTCTTATAGCATTTTGTGTGATCTTTCTGAATCTGATGGAATTTTTCGAGAAAAGTAGGCACACAGTGAACTTTTTTCACATAACAATGAAACATGAAATTTTCCCAAGTCCGGACCTGGATTTTTTTTTCATTATATGTTATCTTGAATAGTTTCAGTAGAGATAAATCGCTGCCAAATTTCAGCAGATTACGATAAATTATTTCTGTAATATCGGCCATCAAAGTTATATAGCAATTTCACATAATTCCCTGTATCTTCGTTATGGAGGGTCAAAAAATGTTTTCATTTATATACATCAACTCGTCTTGATTTTTCCTATTAACCATTTGGCTATGTGAGTCTTCTCATGAAACACCCTGTATATATAAATGTATGTGGTGTATCAATGATGCAGCCAGGCGCGGTCCGAGGGAGGGTCACAGGAGTCATGACCCCCCCCCCCCAAATCTGCATCACGTACTGTATCTCGGCAGACTCATCGCGATAATCACCAAGGAAACGAAGAGGAATATTACCAAAGAACTGTTTGTATTCCATTACTGGACAGTGTAAGGAATGATCTGAAAGACCGCCTTTCTGAAGATACATTGGTACTGTTTGGCTTAGGTATTTTTATGCCAAAATCAGGATACACTGACGATGACCTAATAAATGTGAAGAAGGCAGCAAAATTCTATACTCATTATCTGGGAGTTCCTGCTTCTTCGGTCGTTTTGGATTTTGAAGGGGAGGCGAGGGCTGCAGAAAATAGTTCAAACGTGACCAGTTGTGTCCCTTCTACAATGGGGGAGACCACTGATTTTTTTAAACGACATTATCGTGAATTCTATACTGAAAAACTACCAGTGAATTAATTTTGAATTTTTTCAATCATGCTAAGACGATGAAAAAATAAATTAGAATTTGTCCATTTCAAAACACATAATCCCTGCGCCATTTGAAATTTTGTCAATTCATTGGTGAGACTGGTGCGACGTCTTAGTCCCAACACGCCTATTGTCCTTGAACTCACCAATCACACTGCAACACTGCAGAATGACGAGGTATCAGAGAGAGATAGCTACAGTGCGGGACTAATACGTCACTGCTCCACCATCATATTCGGCTTCTTGAAATATCGATTGAAATATGCAGATTTCAAAACGATATAGATTTGATTCCCTTCAACTTCAACTCATAATATTGATTGTAGATCAAATGTAAATCATGATTCGTCGATTGAAAGAGGTTTGCACGGATTTCTTTCCTCAGTGGTCTTCCCCATTGGAATTTGTGAAAATGACATATCCAAAAATCGAGATTTTACTGAACATTTTGGCAACCGCAAACGCCGCCACAGCAGAAAGGTCATTTTCTACTTCGAGGCGCCTGAAATCTTGGCTAAGAAGAAGAATGTCAGAAGTGAGGATATCAGACGAATTTTGCTTGGTCTCAAAACGAATAAGGCTAACGATCCTGATGGAATTCCACCCATTGTCCTCAAAAAATGTGCACCAGAATTAACACCGAATCTCTGCAAGTTGTTTACCGTCTCGTACAGGTCGGGTATTTTTCCATCATGCTGGAAGACAGCCAATCCCCAAAAAAGGGAACCTGCCCAACAACTACAGGCCCATTGCCCTATTACCAGTAATCTCCAAAGTGATGGAGAAAGCCATCAATATTGAGCTTATCAAATATCTGGAGAGCTCATGAATCATCAATGATAGACAATACGGCTTTCGCCACCGAAGATCTACTGGAGATCTACTTGCCTACGTCACCCATTTATGGCAAGCTTCATTAGAAAAACACGGGGAATCTCTAGCTGTCGCGTTGGACATATCAAAAGCATTCGACCGTGTTTGGCACGAAGGACTCCTCCACAAACTACCATCATACGACTTACCACCTCAGCTATGCCTTCTCTTGTCGAGTTTTCTTTCAGGCAGATCGCTTCACGTGGTGGTGGACGGTGTATCGTCTGATACCATTGGCATCAATTCCGGCGTTCCACAAGGATCAATTTTGGCACCAACATTATTCCTTCTTCATATCAATGATCTGTTGGGAGTAACAACTTGCCCCATCCACAGCTTTGCAGATGATAGTACTCTCCATACTGCATTCTCTTCCAGAATTCCCATTTCTTCCCAGGAAACTAAGAACTCACGGCGCAGGCAGGTCAATGCTGTCAATGAAGACCTTGCTGAAATCACAGCCTGGGGAACCAACAACCTAGTTGAATTCAACGCCACCAAAACTCAAGTCTGTATTTTCTCTAGGAAGGCGGAACTCAGTATGCCCGACATTACGATGTCTGGCACCACCATCCCCACCAAACCCACCATATCTATGCTCGGTATTTCGTAAGAAAGATGTTGAACAGCACTTTATCAAAACGCCTTCATCCATGGAATGGCTAGGCTCTGGAATTCATTGCCTGAGGAAGTATTCCCAACAACATATAATCTCCAGAAGTTCAAAAAAAATTCCAATAACTACCTCCTGTCCCTATCCTCCCTAGGAACGCACGATGTTCTTTGAACATTATAGGAGTTTCCTTTCGTGCGCTCTGAGTGATAAAAAAAACACCTCCTGTCCCTATCCTCCCTAGGAACGCACGATGTTCTTTGAACATTATAGGATTTTCCTTTCGTGCACTCTAAGCGATAAAAAAAACGGGCTCAGCTCTTTTAAATATACTTCCAGAGATCTCTCCTAATGTGTTGAAAATAATCAACTGATTCTCCAAATCCAATAGAAGATTTTCTTTCAGTTTGTAACTGAGTTTTTTGTTAATAATAATAATTAAAGAGCTTTTTTGGATACCCAAAAGGCTATACCCAGGTCCTTCAGCCTGTGTTACACAGTGATTATACATTGAGTTTAAATTCATCATTATTGTATGTACAAGATATATGGAATTATAACATTTGCTAGTGTAAAAAAAAAGAAGAAAAGTCTATTGTGAAGCAAAAATTTTGAAGGAATTTCAGTCTTCTGAATTGATTAAGCATTCCAATAGTGTGTTTTCCGGAAACTTCCGTCTTGGGTTCACTGTTGGATCTCTCTGTAAACACTGGAATTGGATAATTTGGAGATTGGATTCGTTTTTGGAAAACTTCAATGCTAGCTTTTTCAGTCTCTCAGAAATTGGTTGCTCCCTGGACAGCTGATATAGAAGTTCGTTTGATGGATGGTGAAGGGGATTTTGAGGGTGCCGGATTTTGGTAATGGCTCTCAAGCTAGCTCTTTCTGCTACTTCCAAATTGTTCAGTGACGTCTTGTCTTTCTTGTGTTTATGTATATTGGGTGAGCATACTCAAGAATTGGGCAGCAAATGGTTTTGTAAATATGTGCTGCAGTTATTTTGCTAATTCCTTTATTCTTGTAGGTTAGGATTCGAAAACATTTAGCTCTTGTGATGCACTTTTTATTCATCAACTGGGTATGATGGTTGAAGTTTAGTTTTTGATCTAAGTGCACTCCCAGATATTTAACTAATGCCCTAGTTCTCACTACATGATAGTTCACAGTTACCGTGGGTGAATCATCTGATATTTTTTTATTGAAGAGTATCAGTTGGGATTTTTGTAGATTTGGTTTTAGCCTCCACTTGTCACACCATCTCATAGTGTTCTGAATTGCGTTTTGTAACTCTTCAACTGCTTTTTCAAGTGATTTATGATGACTTATAATGGCTGTATCATCATCAAATTGTATGCCATAGATGAATGTGTTTTGATTTTGTTGATTTTGATTTTGTAGATTTTGATTGTTCCAATTGAATATGTTGAAACAGTATATATTGTAGAGAGTTTTTTGTAAAACTTTTCATGAATAAATGTATGTTTATATACTAAAGGCTTCATTTTTTATTTGATTCAAGAGGTAGTGGGTTCCATTATTGAGCTTGGCGCTTCTTAGATTTGGGTTAAATTATGCACAGTGCATGGTATATCATATGGAATGAAGCCCGAGATGAAGCCTAAATGTCATGGTGGTTTGATTTCCACTTCTTAAAACTGGAGATCCCGTCGCACAAGCCTTTCAAGGGCTTTTGAGGGTTACTTCAGTAGCTATGTAAAATGAGTTAACTGAAATAAATGAGTTATCTAAAGAGAAAATGAAAATTGTCCTCTCCTGTTTCAAGTTGAACCCTCCCAAATGATTGGGCTGTGATGGAGCCTGGATGCAGCAAAACAAACAAACCTAAGCCAGGTTCTAATTTCAGACCTTGATGATTTGAGATTATAATAAAAGAAAATCTAAATAAAATACATACATTTTCAGTACAAAGACACTATAACAGGTATGGAGGCAGGTATGTACTTATGAGAAAACTTGCCTTTTCCAAACGAAAATCATATTTTAGATCATGAAGAGATAAATATATGTCTCTATACTTGCCATTGTTTCCCTTGGACGCCAAATCGTTCAGAAAAGCATTACGAAGATCTTGTATTTGACTATTTGATATTTCCATATGACCCTTAACCATTTTTAAGATTTAAGATAACACACGAAACAAAATACGAATTACTGAACAGATGAACAGAACAAAGTCCTGTTCAAACTATTACATACTTTATACATTAGAATTTTATCAGATATTTAAAATAATAATTACTACTTCAAATTCTTCAAAACAAAACAGAAAATTAGTAAAACTTATAAAAAAACAAAACTTTGTCATTGTCAATTGTCAGACTGTCAGTTGTCAAAGCAGCATATATGAGTATGAGGTGTGAGTTAAATAGCCTTGGAACTTGGAACATGCCTAGTATTTTGGATATAGGTATGTTCGGTATGTTCATACTACATAGAGTCACTGGATGGTATGATGAGTTCATACTTGTACGAATTCCGCAAAATTTATGCGAATCACAAAATATGAAATTCCCGACAGAATTCGACGTTCATACTCATGCGACAAAATATGCAGGACATAAGGGTTCTGTTGTCATATCAATTTTTTTATTTCTGATCATTTTCATATTCCAACGTAATAATTGGTTTAAGACTAATAATTTATTATTGATTGGATTTAGCCATTTTCGGAGGAAACGGTGACAGATAGCGATTTTTACAAGAGTACCTTTTTTATGTAAAAGGCATTGGAGAATCATATTCAGGAAGAAAAAAACTAGGGGCTCAAAGTCGGTCGACAACACTTCATATAATAGTAGTAACTAACATTTTACATATGTAACCGGTTTCGGCGCTACGGCCATCATCAGACAAATACTAAGTGACAACATCAGTCAGTCAAACATCATCAGATCTGATGATGTTTGACCTTATCAGAGCCAGTTTTTTCTGACTCTTCATTAGATTTAAACCAATCAACTTATTGCCCGTGTCTCAACCCATGGCATGATTGTTAATTATTCAGTGATGTTTTGTTTCAATTGTATTGTTCGGTACTTAGTATTTGTCTGATGATGGCCGTAGCGCCGAAACCGGTTACATATGTAAAATGTTAGTTACTACTATTATATGAAGTGTGGTCGACCGACTTTGAGCCCCTAGTTTTTTTCTTCTTGAAAATACTGTGGACCACTTTGAGAAAATGGATGATTTTCATGATTTAATCATATTCAGATATATAAAAATGGTAAGAAATTAAAGCCTAAAGGTATGTTCATGCTTGTACGAATTCCGCAAAATTTATGCGAATAAAATGGCGACTGCGAATATCGCAATGCAGTTGAAATATTCGAACTTTTTTGCGAATTCGGATGGAATTATAACCACATAAAATGTATTAATTGTTATTTTGATAACATCAACATTGGGGAATTAGAGAGCGGACTGCAGAGATCGAAAACAGACGAGACTAGACACTAGAGTACAGGTAAGTACAGAATTATAATTACAAATTTCATCATTTCTTCATTTGATTACATTTTCTTCGCAGGACGAATTAATTTTAAAGCATCATCTGTATTGTCTCTATAGATAGAACTTATGATATATCCATCAGAAGCATAAAAAGGAGCTGTACTGTTCGAAGCATTCTCAAATGCTGAAAAATTGATGGAGATTAGTACAGACCCGTTCGATAAATGCGACTGAATGACCTAATAAATATTTTTACTTCCGTGTAAAGTGCCTTCAATTTGATGAACTTCTATCAATGGTGGAACCAGAAATAAAGAAATGAGTATCACAACAGAACCCTTATATCTCCTGAATATTTTGTCGAATGAGTATGAACGTCAAATTCTGTCGGAAATTTCATATTTTGCGGAATTCGTACAAGCATGAACATACCTTATTTCACCCAATTCCCCCCCTGGTTTGTACGCCCCTGGTTAAAGGTGACAAAATCCGGAAGGCTCAAATTGATGAACCTACGAACTAGATTTCATGTCCCAAAATTGGTTGCGATAGCTGCAGTAGTACCGAAGCTATAAAACGAAAAGTAGTTTTTGAAGGTCATCTTCGAAGGGCCCTAGCTCCCTGAAGTTTGTCGTTTTATTTAAAAACGAAAAAAACGTCATTCTGTTATTCTGTTCCCGCTACCAGAATGGAACAAATAAAACGCAACTAACTAGTGTCAGGTCAAATGTCAAAGTCATTCGTCGTAACACGTCGTTTAATCTGATGTTGATTTTAAAATTTTTGGTTTTCAATCAAATAAATTATTTAAATTATACTGAATTTTCCTGTCATGTACACTTCCCTGCCACTTCACTCACGAAATGTATGTTTATTTATCGAAATTGACATGATATGAATATGAATCATTCAAATTTCATTGAAACCTTGAGTATGGGAATATAAAAAATCAATATTTCCCATTTCCAATTTGAAAAATATTCAAGAATGTATAAATAGTTCAGTTTCAAGAAGATGTGGGTCTTTGGATATGGATCCTTGATATGGAAAGTAGATTTTCCATATGAGGTGAAAATATTGGGTTATATAAAAGGATTTACAAGAAAATTTTACCAATACAGTACAGACCATAGAGGAACTCCCGAAAATCCTGGACGGGTAGTAACATTATTACCAGCAGAAAATAATTCCCGGGTTTATGGTATAGCATATAAGATTCCTAACTCTGATATTGAGCAAGTGGTCAACCATTTGGATTATAGAGAAAAAGGTGGTTATGAAAGACAATCAATAATATTCCATCCAATTGATGAAAACGAAAAACCATTTGAGATAACTATTTATTTAGCCAGCCTTGACAATTTCAATTATGCTGGACCTGCTGATTTAAAGGATATTGCTGAACAAATTCTGAGGTCTAATGGACCCAGTGGACCCAATATTGATTATGTGTCCAATTTAGCTGAATCTATGAGGACACTTTTTCCTTATGTACATGATGAACATCTCTTTGAGCTTGAAAAAATACTTATTGAATTGAAAAAACCAAACAGTATATTATGTAACAGTAAATAGTCTCCTTTTATTAATTAAATTTCATTTATACACTTGACTGAAATAAAATCATCCAAAAACATGTGTTATTTACAAAAATTAGTGATCTATTGACAATTGCATCTTTATATTGCATACTAATATAATAATAATTCACAACAGTATACAGCATTGAATTTTTTACTATTGAACATAATGAGAGCAGCAATTCACTTCTGCATTAACCTAACCTAACCTGACACCCTAGTTTGCAATAATTTTTACACATTCCAATTTTTTCAAATAGGAGTTTGATCATGGTTCCTGGTTCATCCATGAATTTATGACTGGAAGCTGTGAAATAAACCAATATATTGTGCACAATTTTTTCAATACCATGAAATTTTCAGGTAGTTGATAAAACCAAGGATGAAACACATACTTTCAAATTACATTTTATAGACTGAAAGTAATAACTAATTGATTAATTCACATGAATAAATAATATATCAGGTATAAGAGTGTATATGGTTCATGACATCTATAACACAACACCCAACATTTTGCCAGGCGAGTTTTCACCCGGAATCCTCCCCTTGAACTTAGGATATCATCTTCAATTATGAAAAATCATAAGTCTTCGAATTCCGAATTTAAAATCAATTTTTGTTTTATAAAGTTATAGTAAATGTGATGGTGAATGTTATATTTGACAACCAATATTTTGCCGGGCAAGGGTTCACCCCGAATCTACCCCCAAAATAATGAAAAAAACATCAAAGTTGAAAAATCATAATTTTTCAAATTCGCAATTTAAAATTGATTCTCACTGATGAAGTTATTGTAAATGTGATGGTCAATGACATCTGAAACACCCAACATTTTGTCTGGCGAGTTTTCACCTGGAATCCTCCCCTCGAAAAGATAGGATAAAATCTTCAATTATAAAAAATCATAAGTTTTCGAATTCGGAATTTAATAGTTATTTTTGTATCTAGAGCGCGAAATGCTACTTTGGTGATCGAGATCTGATTTTTTTAACGAGGCGTAGCCGAGTTGAAAAAATAATCGAGATGACCAAAGTATTTCGCGCTTAAGTTACAAACAAAATTTGTTCTACAAACGTCAAAAAATATAGTTCTAAAGTAAAAATATGCTTAACTTGATATAAAAAATAGTGTTGAACTGGCTTGAAAGGTCTCCCCCTATCCTCCCTAGGTACGCACGATGTTCCACGAACATAATAGGAATTTCCTTTCATGCGCTCCAAGAGAAAAAACAAAGTTATTGTTGAACATTCAGAAATAAATGATTTTGTGGATGTCTGCTCGATTGAGGACCATAAAGTTGAAATATAAATATCTCATTTATTTTACATAACAATGTTTTACTTCGCGCATTGTTTTGTGCAAGGAATCATGGTAACGTAGGAAACTGAAAAAAGTGTCACTTCGCAATTTGTTATCAATGCGCGAACCTTGTCATTTTTTGACGTTTGTAAAAAATAGTTATCTTTGTATCTAGAGCGCGAAATTCTACTTTGGTGATCGAGATCTGATTTTTTTAACGAGGCGTAGCCGAGTTGAAAAAATAGTCGAGATGACCAAAGTATTTCGCGCTCGAGTTGCAAACAACATTTTTTCTACAAACCTCAAAAAATATTGTTCTAAAGTGGAGATATGCTCAGCTTGATATAAACAATAGTGTTGAACAAGCTTTGATGGCCTCCCCCTATCCTCCCTAGGTACGCACGAAGTTCCACGAACATAATAGGAATTTCCTTTCGTGCGCTCCAAGAGATAAAACGAAGTTATTTATTGAACATTCAGTAATAAATGATTTCGTGGATGTTTGCTCGATTGTGGACCATTAAGTTGAAATATAAATATCTCATATACAGGGTGTAAATTTGAAAACTTTCAATGCAAATATCTCGCGAAATAAAAAAGTTAGAAAAACGCCGCTTGGCACAAATGCTTAAGTGTTAGGAAGAACTAGAACCACCATATTTCAGTGAGGGGATGAGTCACCCTGTCAGCGCAACACACCCCAACTTTGAAATGTCAAATGGCACTACCTCTTTTGTGATACCTCAAATGAACGGTCTCAGTCAGTAGTATTCACCTTTACAAGACTTCTTCTCCACCCACTACAGGGTGTACGAAAAACATTAAGTCGAGGGTCTAAATTTGAAAACTTTCAATGCGAATATCTCGCTAAATAAAAAAGTTAGGAAAACGCCGTTTGGCACAAATGCTACAGAGTTAGGGGGAACTAGAACCAACATACTTCAGTAAAGGGATGAGTCACCCCATCGGCGCGACACACCCCAACTTTGAAATGTCAAATGGCACTACCTCTTTTGTGATGCCTCAAATGAACGGTCTCAGTCAGTAGTATTCACCTGTGCAAGACTTATTTTCCACCCACTACAGGGTGAACGGAAAACATAAAGTCGAATAAAATGAAATGCAGAATGCCGATATATTCCAAGAGATTTGTTCCAAAATGTTAGAATGGCATTTGAACATCGATTATACTAATGCTTACAACAGAATGTAATGCATTTTGAACATCTGATCAAATAAAATATCCTTTTAACACATTTCATTTTATTTTATTCGACTTTATATTTTTCGTACACCCTGTAGTGGGTGGAAAAAAAGTCTTACAGGTGAATACTACTGACTGAGACTGTTCATTTGAGGCATCACAAAAGAGGTAGTGCCATTTGACATTTCAAAGTTGGGGTGTGTCGCGCCGACGGGGTGACTCATCCCTTGACCGAAATATGGTGGTTCTAGTTCCCCTTCACTCTTAAGCATGTTTGCCAAACGGCGTTCTTCTAACTTTTTTCTTTCTCGAGATATACGCATTGGAAGTTTTCAGATTTACACCCTGTATTTTACATAACAGTGCGCGAAGTAGGTACTTCGCGCACTGTTTTACTTCGCGCATTGTTTCGTGCAAGGTATCATTGTAACGTAGGAAACTGAAAAAAAGTGTCACTTCGCAATTTGTTATCAATGCGCGAACCTTGTCATTTTTTGACGTATGTAGAAAAAATAGATTTTTTTCATGAAGGTAAAGTGAATGTGATGATCAATTAATAGTATCTTTGACACCCAATATTTTGCCGGGCAAGAATTCTCACGAATCCCTTGAAATGATGAAAAAATGTTCAATTTTGAAAGTTCATAACTTTTCAAACCCGGAATTTAGGATTGTGAATGACATCTATAATACCCATTATTTTGCCGGGCGAGTTTTCACCCTGGATCTACCACTCAATAATCATATGAGAAATTCTTCAACTTTGAAAAATCTTAACTTTTCAAACTCGGAATTTAGGATTGTTTTGTTCTCATGAACTTATACAGTATATGTGGTGGTGAATGACATCTACAATACCCAGTATTTTGCCGGGCGAATTTTCACCCTGAATCAGTGCCGGATTAGCCACGTAGCAAGAGTAGCAAATGCTGACGGGCCCCGCGAATTGGGGGGCCCCGCGCTCCAACGCTTGTCCGGCCTGTCTTACTGTAAAACAATTACATCGGATCTGTACGACTGTGAAGAATACTATCAGCAATAAACATAGGGACGAATCAAGCGATATACAAATAAGTACGACCATTTCAGCGGCTCACTACTACACTCGACGACTTTGTTGAAAATCAGACACCTGGACAACGTTTTGAAGTTCAGGTATTCATTTCCATTATTGATAACGTACTGTCTGTTTCAACCAAACGTTTGAAAGCATTTCATAAAATTACTAGTGTTTTTGGAGTATTTCGACAGCGAAAGAGATTTTGGAAAAATCCTTAATAATGGTCAGTGCTCAAACAGATGATTTGGAAACCAGCCTAGACGATGAATTAGTGTAGATCGTTGAGCTGCTCAAAACGAATATGGGTACTGTCATTCAGAGCACCAAACAGGAGCATCTGGAACTATAATTTTATAAACTCTCATCGAATAATTCTTTAGAATTATGTTTCCCAAACATAGAGATTGCCTTGCGAATTTACGTGTACCTATCTCATGATCGCTAACTGTAATGGCGAACGGGTATTAAAACGTGATGAAAATGAGTTAATGGGCCAAGAACGTTTCAATCACCTCACTTTGATAAATATAGAGCATGATTTGTTTGATGAAGTCGATATTAAAAGTGTTATCTCTAAAGTTGCCCATATAGGTATATCCAGAGAAGTTTATTTGTAATAGTTTTTTTTTTATTTTATTAAATACTCTAAACTCCATAACGTGAAATGATGAAACAAATTTTTTTAACTTTTTCCAAAAGAAAAATAAAAATAAATTGTCTTTTTGAATGAAAATGTTCCACATGAACGTCACAACATTTTAATAACTCATAGGAATTATGAATTGGTTGATTCATTAAATATTAATAAATTGACAAAGCCCAAGGCCATGGGCGAAACGTTTTTCTACCTAATCTTTTGAAATTACTTATGAAACCGAATGCAAACCCCAAGAAAAAGCTGCAAATCAAAAACATAACAGGATTCAAGAAAATCCCTCAACAAACTGTGATAATATATGATGAAAAAACTCTTAGGTCAGCCGAGACTTGATATTTCGGTAATATGACATCAGAGAAAAGTTCATATTTGAACTGGCTTCATGATTTTGCTTTGTCTAGGAGCCCTTCAAGTCATTGTACTTGCATGATAGTATTTAGCACCGAACGCTCGTGTCTAAAATATATGCTTGAACCCCAGTCTTTTCAGCCTGTCATAATACAAACGAAATTAGGGCTTTCCATCATCTTCATTATATGTATCTTTTCGGTCGAGTCCGACAAAAATTATCACCCACTCCTATGTATAGATTGCTTGCGGACATTTCCGTATACAAGGAAAGACAATGCCAGAGGACGAACGGGGAAAAATGGAGACTGTATAGTACCATCCTGCCAGCGATACTTCGTATAGTGCATGATTTCGAGTGACTTCGGGAATTGGAAGGATTCTGCCGCTTGGTGTGTGATGAGAACTCGACCTTCCTGCCGATTGATCGACGGACGACCCGTTGGCTCAATTGGCAGAGCGTTGGGCATGTAACCCA